CTGTCATTTTTCTTGCTTGCTCCGCCGATGGTAACGCGGCATGTCGGTAGCAGTATGCTTGGGGTCCGGGAATATCACGAGCTTCGACTACCACAGCCAGCTCTTGTCTGTTCTTCCAGAGTCCCAGGGAAGGCGGAGAGTCAGTGACGGCTATAGTCTCGGCAGCATACCGAAGGGATGGTCGAGCTGCATTACCATGGGCTGATGTGGAAGCTGGGACGACGAGATGTTCGAGCACTTACCTTCGTCCGTCGCGCCATCATCCAACACTTTAGGGCAGACGTCTTTGTACTTTGGCAGACGCCTCTTGAGCTTGAGCTTGAACATCCACACGAGTTTGCCTTGGAGTGCTGCTCTTCGGTGCATTAATCTAATTTTAGTCCAGTAATGACATAGGTGTGTGTCCCGCATACAAATTTGCACATTGTAGCTTGAATAACCAATATATAACTTCTGGCATACCGTAGTGACCCCTAAAATGTGTGCGCTGCCGCTGGGTACTACCAGGCACTCCTGAGCCTCTACGCGTGCGCTACCCGACAAGGGCAGATGCGGTGGCTCAGGGTAGCAAGCGCCCTCGCTACGTAGTCAGATGCTGCTTCCTGATGAGCACATGGGACACCACCTTTCACAGACTGCTTGCATTGGTACCGAATGAACCCGGAGACGCGTTTGTGTACGGCGTGTACGGCAATACGCTCGGTAGATGTTCTGATTCATGCAAAAAGTGCCAGGCTCACTGGTTATTCTTCATAAGGCATGGTGAAGATCTAATGTCAGTCATTCAGTCCAAATCAATCTATTCCTAACATCATCGGCGCTAGCGTTAGGGTTTGTCGTTCAAGTGTGGGCCAGGATGCAGGATCTCTATTCGTGCATATCGATAGCATTGCTCTCGAACTCCAATTTATCGACGTCGAAGTTGCAAACAACCTCGCTTGGGACGGCTTGCGACCCGTCATTGATTCCCCGCACATGCGCTGCCTTTGTATCGTTCATGGCGGGCCGGAATACCACGACTTTGTGGTCGCAAAGAGAATCTTGTGCTCTGTGTTGCACTGCGCGCAGCTGACCTGGGCTCTCGAATCAGGCAAACTACAATTCGGGAGTCGCTGGTACACGGAGAATTATGTTACGAGTGCAGACATTTTGTTGGTACCGACAGAGCACACCATTGACGGCATCATGATCACTCTCAACATCACCAAACAAGCCGAGTAGTTGCTGCGCCCGGTCCACTCTCGTTTCGAAAAGGAAAGAAAGGAAACCAGGGAGCATTACTTACAAAAGCTCGTAATGAACCGCACAAGTGGAGTATCCATGGACGCAGTCCCAGCGATCATACCGTCCACCGCAGATAGCGCTCGAGGCTCGGCGGTCGGGCAGATGTGGGAAGCGGCAGAGGGCGATGGGCCGGGAGACGAACAAGATGAGGAAAGACCGGCGTCAGTGACGAGAGCATATAGGGGAGAAGGTGTAGGAAAAACATGGGCATTGAGCGCAGGTAGGATGTGTCGTCGACGGATTGTTGCGACTGCGCGGAAATTTGTCAATTTCATGGCTTCTGCCTCTCTCTGACTGTATTCACTCGGACGTTATGGCGGTAAATGTGTTCAAAAATTCAAACCGCATAGATGTAGGTTTAAACCGCAGATTCGTATCCAAAGTGTAACAAACCAAAGAATTGTAGTATTCCTGGCGATGATTTGTGTGACTGACTTGTGTTGACCGTAGATTCCTTGTTTGTAAGCACAATGTAAATCTTCTGTGCTGACCGGGTGCTTTTTTATTCAACCGGCATACCGTAAGCTTTCTGTCTCGACAGATAGACGGGGTACTTTTTACTTTTCACTTTATGCCGGATACTTTTGACTTTTGACTTTTGACTTTTTGCTCACCGGAATTTTCTTTTATGACGGAAAAGTTTCCAAAGTTGCCGTCTTCAATGCCTCAAGTCTCAGTAGGCCCGGCCCAGGATCAAAACCATACCAGAGCCAAAGAAAATTGTGCCGAAAATGATAAATTCAGTAAAATTTATTAGGAAGCTTATATACACTAGTACAAAGCAGAGCAGCCTATTGCAGCCAAATTCTATGCTTGGTCAGTGGTCAGCAGCACCAGAGGGTCTAGAGGTTGGGGTTTCTGTGCCGACTATATTGTCGGCGCTCTCCGCACCTTTCGTGTTAGGTTAGACATGACGTCTTGTAACACACGTGTCAGTTGGAATGCACATTTGCATTGAGAAGAAAGAAGAGAGCCACGAAGAGAAGGGGGATGACCCACCTGAACGTCGTCCATGGCGAGAAGCGCCGTGACGACAAATAGTGATGTGCGGGCCGGGCCTCAAAGCCTGCGAGCCCACCAAGCCCGGCCCAAAAAGCCTGACCAGAGTTAAGCCTGGCAGCGGGCTCAAGGCCGGGCTCAGAGCGTAGTCAAGCCCAAGCCTGGCCCGAAAGCCCAGGCTTGGGTGCACCAAATGTGTTGCCGTTCTCTGGGCTCAAAACATGGTAAGAACGATTTTATATACACATACGAGACAGGACGTTGACTTACCAGACTGGGTGGTCCCTGCTAGTGTGACCAGGCACAATTGTGCACCACCGCCTGGCATTCGCCGTAGGTGCCCCTTCGCGAACCTCATCATAACATGGCTTGTAGCACAGTCGCATGCCCTCTGGAGGCTGCAGTACGGTGGGTACATGCAATAGCAGCCTATCACACACAAATATGCTCATGTTCGTAGCATATAAATACTTGTCCTAAGCTTTGCAAGCCCACGGCTCAACCTTTGGTGCATGTTTGATTAATCATGTGGCAGTAACTACTACGGTGTGCGACGTATTACTTACTAGTAACTGAGCTAGCAACCGCGTAGGGCCTGTAGAGCCTCTCCGGCACCTCTCGGCATGCTATATATGGTGTTTCCATCAACTGGGATTGAAATATAGACCACATTTGGGAGACATGCCATAACATACCGCTTTGGGCGCTTGTTTTTGTTTTATGACATGGGAAGGTGGAGAACATATGTTTGAACATATTTGCTATACTAAACATATGTCAGAAACCAATATTGAGCCCGCTATTCACAAAATACTCGCCAAGAGTCGAGTTTTTGCGGATGTAGCGCGGACTTAAGCCCCATCAGCTCCATCAAGTGCCACCAAGCTGCTACCCGGCTATCTGGCTCCCTACATCAATTTCGCTTTTTGGGGCCATTCTTGGCTCAATTCCTCCCCTCCCCTTTGTCTAATAAACTCCAAACCTTCTGACATATGTACCTGTACCTATGTAGAGTAGTTATGTGC